ATTCACTGCTATAGACGGCACAGTTCAAGTTATGGCTCCCGATACTCGGGCGGGGGGAGTGGATAAAACCCTAGGGTTTGAATAGGGTGCTCGGGAGGCGTACTCGTTCCGAGTGACTGTCAATAGTGTATAATACCCGGCTACATGAGATAGAAAAACCACCAGGACAGACCCAAGCGCAAAGCTCTTGTTCATTAGATTGTCATGAGGGGGGTGCCGCAGTCCGACCAGCACTTATTGGCTGGCAAAACCAGACGAGTTACCGACGCATCTCCTGGACGCCGGTGAATTTGATAGGCCTGGTGTAGAACCAACTGGCACAGACAGCAGCTATATGCCAGGTGATTGTACCTACACCAAGTCGGGGAAAGGGTTCGGGCCAGTGCTGCGCATGCCTTTCTCAGTATAATTCTATTTGTGGTTATACAATGGGACACGCGGTAGATACACTGGACCAACACGGCAGCCATATCAGGGCACGACAGACGTTATAAAGGATGCGCACACAACAAATTTCACAGACGCGAGGTGTGGTGACAGACGTAGGCAAAGGTTCACGCCGCGCCAATCAACTGTGTCCCATCCTGCCTTCAATCATTTTGACTATTTCATGACACCTGGCCCGGGTGGAGTGGGCACGCACGTCCACCGTAGGGTTGGTTTTGCCTACGAGGTTCTTCCGTCACCGGTTTCATTCCGGCGGTTGGTGGGTATTTCATGAACTTGCTGCATTGTACTTCACGGCGGTAGTGGCAATCATAGATGCAGCCTTGTTTCGGGGCAATGTAGAAGCGACGAACACGAAGCGACGACGAATCAACAAACGCGAGTTAAAGAAACACCTGAACGACAACGTTAGGTTGGTTTTATATTGCCAGTCAGCTAAATCAAACCCTGACGTGGCGACGCAAAAATATAAGCACTGAAAATCATGCACTAATGGCAACTTACCTAGCTGATTTCGGGAAAAACGTGTTCGCTTTGTTTTACATCGAAGCTCTAGTCTATAATCCTCGGAAAGATTTGCATAGCAAAAGACTGTCGAAACAACAGCGGTGCTTCGCTTTCTAGCCTAGTTTCCGATCTGTGTGTGTGTCGTAGCCCATTCCGCTCTGTCTCGGAGACAGGTGGAGTACAGTCTACAGTCGATCTCGTCCGCGCACACACCACAAAACGGGTTTGTTTAAGAGCCGACATGAAAATTATTTATAATAAGCAATTGTGTCGACTGCTATACTATCCAGGGAGGTATGTTCACAGAATGAACCTAGCGTTTATGGCAAGAGCTAGAGGGAGAAGAGCAAAAATATGAAGTGCAACGCACCACTCTCTTGTACAAGAAATTGCCGGTGGGTCACAGGATAGGAGTTGGCAGTGCACAGTGGTTCAATTGTGGGTAGGACAGTTAAATCAACAAAAAGACGAAGGCGAAGGTTTTCCAGGAGATCCTGCACCGAAGCCACGAAACAACCGACTGCCGGTTCGGATACTGGAAGTGGTTTAAGTACTAGCGAGAGCTCGGCCTCCCGAGAGAGGCAAAGATTCGGAAAGAGGAAGAGTTCTAGATGCACTAAGGACGCCTTTGTGTCCAGATTGTTACAGTGGCCGCTGGTCATCGCGCAAGCAGCAGCAGTCGAGATTTCGACACGCAAAC